TCTCTCAGCTTTAACATGAGCAACTTGATTTCGAAGAAGAACATCTTTCTTTCGGAGAGTTTTTGTTGCATACAAAGCCTTAGTATCTACTTTTCTTGCTAGGCAGACTTCACCAAATGCTCCTATTCCTAGTGTCTTTATCTTCACAAACATAGACTTGTCCATTTTAGCCCTTTTAAGACGGATGTAATTAGATTCTTTTTGGCAAAGCATCTTTCTCATTTGATCCTGGGCATCTTGAGATAATCCAACCTAGGCAAATAAACTAGATGTTAAATAAGAATTATCTTCTTCAATATTGAATATTAAGAAATAGCTTGGAAAAATTTCAGGCATATATTTAAAGGTTAAATACATAATTTTAATAAAGCATGTTAGAAATCTAGAAAACATTTCAAAGGAAATTAATGATCAAAAGTGCAGCCTAAGGGGTAGTTAAAAGGATATTCAAAGTGAATACATATGCAAATTCAGCTGTGGAGCGCAAGAAGAGGGTAGCAGATGAGTAAGCTTTCTACTCTTCTCTAATGCACTCCAAAAAAAAAAAAGGTTCTCAATGTGCAACAAACACCTGTTAACATGCATCTTCATTTATCTCTCTGTTACATGCTTCTCTTGGTGGAATGCCTAGGCCTCAAATATTCTTCCTCCTATTTTGTCTTTCATGAAAAAAAAAATTCTTCCACTCCAGGTTCATTTATTCTAAAAAATTAATGTACCAAAGAACAACAAAACAATGCCTTTTCTAACCCACCAATCCTTTCCCCATTCTCAATAAATACACAATAGTCATTAATAATCTTTCCTTTTCTCTTTTTCAGGGCATTAGAGTAAAGGTGCGACTCACGGCCCACCACTAACACAAATTGCAAAGGGTTTCTCCTACTTCGAAAAGAACCACCTGGTTGTTCACAAGATATCCTTTGGATATTTAGGAATACTTCAAAGAATAGTCAGTGTGACTCATGAACAGATCAAAAAATAGATTAAAAACAAAAACTAACTTCTAAGTATTATAGATATGGAATGCCTGGATTTAGAAGGGAGAAACATTTTTGGCTAATGAATAAAGAATTAATTAAAGGGTTTAAATAGAAAAGAAATTCAATTGGAAAAGTGGGGTCTAATTCTAGAAATACAAGACTAAAATAGAGCAACCACATGCTTCTGTTAGGATTCATATTTGCATGCAAAATCTTTTAAGGGTGGCATGCCAGACTTAGTTCAGAACTGTTTCTCTTAAAATCTTACTTGCCTACACAGTAATGGAGACTACAGAAGTCAGCAAAGCTTCCAACACCATAAAAGTTTAAATCAGCTATTAGTGAAAGTGAAGAGGAAAAAGGAAAAATAAACTAAGAAAATACACATAGACAGACTTTAGTAAGAAATCCTAAGAACTAAAATATGAATAAGTCATAGAAATTATTATGGTATTTCTCATTTAATAAAATATAAAATGGAAACAACAATACTGTAAAATCAGATATGGAAAAATCATTTTAAAAGAATAGTTCTCTCAAGTATATATATAAAGGAGTTTAATCACAAGGTTAAGCCTCTTGGATTGTGAGTGACAGATGTAAGATTAGGAGTCAAATATTTGAACTGTAAGCATATGATAAAAACAATAATAGACGGGTGCAGTGGCTCACGCCTGTAATCCCAGCACTTTGGGAGGCAGACGCGGGTGGGTCATGGGGTCAAGAGGTCAAGACCAGCCTGGCCAACACGGTGAAACCTCGCTTCTACTAAAAATAAAAAATTAGATCGGTGTGGTGACGGGTGCCTGTAGTCCTCCCCTACTGGGGAGGCTGAGGAAGGAGAACTGCTTGAACCTGGGAGGTGGAAGTTGCAGTGAGCCGAGATGGTGCCACTGCACTCCAGCCTGGCAACAGAGCGAGACTCCGTCTCAAAAAAAAAAAAAAGATGATGATCGTACTACCTTAATATCTAGTGAAGAGATCTATGTGAAATGACAACACATATTAAAGTGTGTTTACTTATTCTGATCTCCCTTTTAGTGCAGTTTGACTAAATAATTTCAGCACATTTTTCTCTAGTATATTATAAAAATGAAATGAGAAGGGAGAAATAACTGAAGGGAATTTCTTTTACACTTTCTAATAAGATCTATGTGATGAATAAACCCATAAACTCCAAATTTTCTACAAGTAAAAGGAACTGTTTCGTAAGTATATCAGGAGATGAGACTCACATATTTCTTTCTTTTCTTTTCTTTTTTTTTTTTTTGAGACGGAGTCTCGCTCTGTCGCCCAGGCTGGAGTGCAGTGGCGCGATCTTGGCTCACTGCAACTGCCACCTCCCAGGTTCACGACATTCTCCTGACTCAGCCTCCCAAGTAGTTGGGACTACAGGCGCCTGCCACTGCGCCCGGCTGATTTTTTTTTGTACTTTTAGTAGAGACGGGGTTTCACCGTATTAGGCAGGATGGTCTCAATCTCCTGACCTCATGATCTGTCTGCCTCGGCCTTCCAAAGTGCTGGGATTACAGGTGTGAGCCACCGTGCCTGGCTTGAGACCCACAAATATCTAATTTATGTTTAAATGTTGTAAGATAATGTATAAAACCTAGAAAACAACCTTTCCTCCAATTTTCATATAAAGGTATTATGTACACCTAAACTGTATACTGCAAATTATATTTTTCTTAATTTACACAAGATTTTATTAGAGGAAATTCTGAGTAAATCTTGAAATACAAAAAAAAAAAAAGCTACAATCAAAAGTACTTTAAATTTATTCACTTTTAAATTCCGTAACTGATAATATATTGTATTTAGCTATAAAAAAAGAAAAATACTGGAGCACAATATTTTAAAATAAACACGAAGCAAATAGATTTTAAGTATAAAAATGGACATTTTAAAAGGTTTTACCCGCATCATTTCATTCTCTAATTGTTTTTTACGATGTAGACGCTGCTGATGAGATTTGAGTACATTTTCTACATGTTGCTCCATAAAGAATTTAAATGCTTGAGGAGAATAACTTTGAATACGAGATTCCCTTCGCTCTTCATCTTTCTTGTTTTTCCTAACAGTAATGGGTGAAGTTGTAATCTGTTTCTTTTCTTTATCCCCACTATCAACATTTTCATAACTCTTTTCACTCTCATCTTCCTTGGGCAAGCTTGGCTGATCCTCTTTGCTAGGCTTACTGATTGATTCATATGGAGGAACAGATGGGTTTTGGTGCAGCAGATGTTTTGGGTAGGGTGGTGGTGGTCCTTGATAGTTTGGAGCTTCAGCAACAGGTGGCATCACAGTCACATTTGAAGCGGTTCCCTCAGGAAAAGGACTGGGTTGAACAGTTTGAATTGGCTGTGGTATCCAAGAAGGGTGTGTAGGTGCTAAAGCAGTCTGTAGCTCTGGTTTTAATACACGCATGCTTTTCACAGGCTGTTGAATAGGAGCTGGTGTAATTGCAGTGACTGTTGTAGCGGAAGGCTGAGAATTAGCAGAGTGACTTGCTCTATTTCCTAATGGGTTATTAAAAGAATTTGACCTCACTGGTATGTTAGGTTGCCATGTAGGGATTTCATGCCCACTGCTCGGGGATGACTGGGCTGGAGCAGAAGATGACTGAGGCCAATTTGTTTGCAGTCCAGGTACATTAATGTTATACAGTTCCATGTTATGACTATTTCTGTTTGGCACCATCATAGACTGAGGAATATTTCCATTTGTATATGACGAAGGAGCAGCAGATCCCCCTGTTTGTAAAGCAGAAGGGCTTTGTCCATTAGTTGCGGTCAGAGGATATGGTGGTGGTGGCTGCCGATTCACAGTGCCAGCAGGGACAACATTTTGGTGTATCATGAAATCAGTTTGTCCAGTACCATTCTGCATTCCAGGTCTCCCTGATGGAAAGTTAAATTTGCTAGAACTCTGCATGATGATTGGTTGTCTGCCAACAGGAACAGAACTAATGCCTCTCTGTCCCTGATTAGAAGGATTCATGGGGGAAGTATTGAGAGGTGGTGGAGGATAGCCCTCTTGCCATGCCCCAGGTGGGACAGGAGAGATTCGGGAGATTACGTATTCCATGTTTCCAGAATAGCGTTTTGTTTGAGAGTTTGGTTCCCATGAAGGGGGAGGTGGAGTTGTACCTCTTGGAGGGGGAGTCTGGCCTCTTGGAGGTGGTGGAGGAGTAACACTCCTTACTTGAGGTGGAGGTGGGGGGTTCACTCTCTGTCCATTGCTGGGGTGAGCTTGAGCAAATGCTGTTATACCAGATCCAGACAAAGGTCTTCCTACATCTGTCTGTGAGTTGGGACTCTCAGAATGATAGGCCACACTTTCTCCTAGTGGTGGGCCATGCCTCTGAGGAACTAAGGATTCTTTAGAACCTTTCCAGCTCTGTTTGCGGTTAACTGATTGTTGCACATTCCCTATGGTTATAAGAGAGATAAAGAGGAAAAAGAATCATGTTTTCAACCTCTTATTTTTGAAAAGCTTGCAATTCTGATACTACAAATGATACTCAATTCTCTTTCAAGAATTATAAAAATATAAAAAAGTTCAAGTGATCTCTTGTACAAAATGGTGACTGTAGTTAATAATGTATTGTACTCCTGAAAACTGCTAAGAGAGTAGATTTTAAGTGTTCTCACTACAAAAAAACTATATGTGAGGTAATAATACATGTTATTTAGCTCAACTTAGCAGAAAAAGAAAAAAGAAGAGTTATAAAAATAAAATTTCAATAAGTGGTTTCCTTTCACCTTTTAAAATTTTATTTATTTTTGACCAGGCGTGGTGGCTCACACCTGTAATCCTAGCACTTTGGGAGGCTGAGGTGGGTGGATTGCTTGAGCCCAGGAGTTTCAGACCAGCCTGGGCAACATGGTGAAGTCCCATCTCTACTGAAAACACAAAAATGAGCCAGGTGTGGTGGCACGTGCCTGTAGTCCCCGCTACTAGGGAGGCTGAGGTTGGAGGACTGCTTGAACCTGGGAGGCAGAGGTTGCAGTGAGCCGAGATAATGCCACTGTACTCCAGCCTGGGAGATAGAGCGAGACCTTGTATCAAAAAAAAAAAAAAAAGTATTCTTGACTGATGGCTCAAAATTCACAAAGTACAATATCATACTTCTGTTCTTTAGCCGACCGATCTTTAATAAGGTACTTCAGGGATATACATATACAAGTTAGTACTATACATCCTATATGTACTACTACGCCTAGCTTTTTTCATTAAACAAAATGAAGATTCTGTATCAGTATAGAAAGTATTTCCTCACTTTAAAAAATGTTACCATTGTTTTTCACCTTACGGATATACCCTAATTTATTTAATCAGTTCCTTCACTGATAGACATTTAGGTTATTCCCAGTCTTTTGCTTTATACATTAAAAAAAATGCAGCAATGAAAAATTTTGAACAGGCTAGGTGTTGTGGCTCACGCCTATAATCCCAGCACTTTGGGAGACTGAGGTAGGTGGATCACTTGAGGCCAGGAGTTTGAGACCAGCGTGGCCAACACGGGGAAACCCCATCTCTACTGAAAATACAAAAAAATTAGCCAGGCGTGGTAGTGTGCACCTACAGTCCCAGCCACTCGGGAGGCTGAGGCAGGAGAATTGCTTGAACCCAGGAGGCCAACGCTGCAGTGAACTGAGATTGTGCCACTGCACTCCAGCCTGGGTGACAGTGCAAGACTCCATCTCGAAAAAAAAAAAGAAAAAAAAATTTTTTTTGAACAGATATAGTTTCATATATATGCATGCTTATTTGTAGATAAATTATTAGAGGTGGCATTATTAAGCCAAAGGGCGTATCTATTTGTAATATTCACAGCTAGTACTGATTTTAAATATATTTAAATATATATATATTTTTAAATTGAAACAGAGTCTCACTTTGTCACCCAGGTTAGAGTGCAGTGGCACAGACTAACTGCAACTTCCATCTCCCAGGTTCAAGTGATTCTCCTTCCTCAGCCTCCCGAGCAGCTGGGACTACAGGCACACGCCACCACGCCCAGCTAATTTTTGTAATTTTAGTAGAGATGGGGCTTCGTCATGTTGGCCAGGCTGGTCTTAAACTCCCCACCTCAAGTGATCCGCCCACCTCAGCCTTCCAAAGTGCTGGGATTATAGGTGTGACCCACTGTGCCTGGCCTTTTAATATGGTTTTTAAAACAGAAAAAGATAGTAGGCTATAATTAGCTGAACATTAAATAAGGTATAGATTTTACAGAAACTGTCTTTAATGGAATTTCCAAATCAATAAAACAAGCAAAAAAATAATACCAAAAAAAAAAAAAAAGAAGTATTTAAAATAGAACAGTCCAGCCACTTAGGAAAATATACAAGACACATTGGTATAAAGACAATACGCATATACATTCCAGAAGGACTAAAGGTTTAAATATTAAAGATGAAATCATGTAAGCACTAGAAAAAAACAAAAGACCATTCAATAATATTGGGGTACCTCTAGCAAATGTCTTCCCAGGCATGACAAAAGTAGAGATCTAAATACAAACACTCATTACCATTAAAAACAAAACAAAAAAGAATACTAACAAATTTGAAAGCTCAACATTATCCTGGGCAAAAATATATCTAACAACACATCTGAGAAAAAAAGTGGTAAAATGTGGTGAATGTTCATAATGTTTAGTTTAACACTCCCTTTCATCTAGGCGGGGCAGCATTTGGGTCTATATTCTCAAAGGAGGAGCCAGACGAAAAGCAGGTAAGTAAATAATGTTTGGGGAACATTATCATTCTGGATAAACCGGACAAGTCCTCTGGCTATCAGGCTCTTTCTCACTTTCCTCAGACGGCCAGCTGAAGTCAAATACACCATGTCACTCATTCAGCTTTTAGAGTATACAGTCACCCCTGTTGTTCTGCACCTCCCACAGAGCTCTCCATATTCTTCCACTTCCCAAACCTTTCCACTATGTCCTCTGAATCCACTCGGCTCCACAGCCAGCAAATGTGCCTTATCAGTAACCTCTCCTCCAAGCTTTCCTGCCACCTTCTTGAAGCTGGTTTTCTTCTGCTGATATTACTTTCCTTTCTGCCTTTTGAAATTAAGGTTTTCTTTAAAAATAATCTGGCGAAAAGATGGGGTTCTAACATTTGTTCTTACAGGTTTGATATTATTCCTTTAAAAAAGCCAGCTCTTTTGAAGTTCATGCTATGTGGGAGGCCACATTCACTAATTCCTCTCACCTAATGAGCTCCTACCTATTTGCTCTGCTTCATTCAGCCACAGCTTCAGCATTCAGTCTACCCTAAGCCCCACCTTCATCCTGTAACCTCAATATCCACGAGGATAAACCATCAATTGCCCTCATATCTCAGCTTCTTGACGTCCCCTCTTCCACTCCACATCAAGTATCATTCTCATGACTGTATTTCAAATTTTGGTATTACTCGTATCTGCTAGTTTCAGAATCACTTATTTAAGGTTTATATGTTTATACTCCCAGACCACAACTTCTTCTCTTTTGTTTACTCCTACTGCAAAAGTTTTTAAACTTTATTAAGTAGCAACCTTACCAAGATCTCCAAGATTTTTTTTTTTTTTTTTTTTTTTTTTGAGACAGAGTCTTGCACTGTTGCCCAGACTGGAGTGCGTTGGCATGATCTCGACTCAATGAAACCTCTGCCTCCCGGGTTTAAGCAATTCTTCTGCCTCAGTCCCCTGTGTAGCTGGGATTACAGGCAGGTGCCACCACACCCAGCTAATTTTTGTATTTTCAGTAGAAATGGAGTTTCACCATGTTGGTCAGGCTGGTCTTAAACTCCTGACCTCAGGTGATCCACTCACCTTGGCATCCCGAAGTGTTGGGGTTACAGGCGTGAGCTATCGCATCCGGCCAATATCTCCAAGGTTAATCCCCTACTTTATCAGTCCTCCTTTTTCTTATTTTTATTCTTTTGAGACAGTCTTGAAGTCACTCAAGCTGGAGAGCAGTGGCATGATCATGAATCACTGCAGCCTTGAACCCCTGGGCTCAAGCAATCCTCTCATCTCAGCCTTCCAAGTAGTTGGGACTACAGGCATGCATCACCATGCCCAGCTAATTATTTTATTTATTCATTTTTGTAGAGATGGTGTCTAAGTTGCCCAGGCTGGTCTCAAACTCCTGGGCTCAAGTGATCCTCCTGCCTCAGCCTCCCAAAATGCTAGGATTACAGGCAGGAGATACTAAGCCTAGCCTATTTTTAAAACTTTTTGTAGAGACGGGGTCTCCCTAATATACCCAGACTGGTCTCAAATTCCTGGTTTCAAGCAGTCCTCCCACCTTGGCCTCCAAACTGCTGGAATTACAGGCGTGAGCCAATGCACTTGGCCTTCTTCTTTCTTTATGACACATTTTATCCAACTTAAATCCATGGTCTATCACTTTGTTCTTCCCTCTCTTTTTCTCCAAGATCACCTCCTTTTTATTCATTCATTAACTATTTGGGGGTTTGTTTGTTTTTTTTTTTTGACATGGAGTCTCGCTGTGTTGCCCAGGCTAGAGTGCAATGGCGCAATCTTGGCTCACTGCAACCTCCACCTCCCAGGTTCAAGCGATTCTCCTGCCTCAGCCTCCCAAGTGGCTGGGATTACAGGCACCCACCACCCTATCTGGCTAATTTTTTGTATTTTTAGTAGAGATGGGGTTTCACTATGTTGACCAGGCTGGTCTTGAACTCCTGACCTCATGACCTGCCCACCTGGGCCTCCTAAAGTGCTGGGATTACAGGCATGAGCCACTGCACCCGGCCCATTCATTAAATATTTATAGAGCATCAACTATATGCCAGGCACTGCTCTAAGCATTCCAATGACATTGGTAAACAGAACATCCCTGGCCCATGGGACCAACATTCTCGAAGGAGGAGCCAGACACAAAGCAGGTGAATAAATAAACGAGGTAACTTCAGGGAATGATAAATGCTCTGTGAATGAAACATAAACGGCATCAAATGATAGAGAGTAACGAGAGGATAGAAAGGGATAAGGGCTCCTCTGAGGGATAATATATGAGTTCAAACTGCACAGGCCAGGCGCGGTGGCTCACGCCTATAACCCTAGCACTTTAGGAGGCCGAGGTGGGCGGATCACCTGATGTCAGGAGTTCAAGACCAGCCTGGCCAACATGGTGAAACCCCGTCTCTACTAAAAATACAAAAATTAGCTGGGTGTGGTGGCACATACCTGTAATCTCAGCTACCCGGGAGGCTGAGACAGGAGAATCACTGGAACCTGGGAGGCAGAGGTTGCAGTGAGCCGAGATAGCGCCATGGCACTCCAGTCTGGGCTACAGAGCAAAACTTTGTCTCAAAAAAAAAAAAAAAAAAGACTGCATAAAGGTCCTGAAGTGGGAGCTTGGTATTTTCCAAGAACAAAATAAACCCAGTATGGCTGTAGAACAGTAAAC